GGCTTCCTATGGGCAGAAGCTGCCTAGTCTAACTCTAAAGACGTAAGTAATCTTACTTCATAACCTATCACTCTGATGGATATAAGTGATTCTTTTCTCAGAGAGCTTTGCAAATATTCACAGTGGGCCTTTAAGAACTCTCTAAGATAATTCAAGAAAATAACTAAAATAAAGATCTAATAACCTGGAAAAGCTCTGCTGGACAGCACTGTGCAGATGGAGCAGTGATAGGAATGTATTTCCTCATTGTCACTGGTACTGCCACAAAAGAAATATCTAAGATGAGCTGTAAATTATGTCTGATCATAATGGGTTTCCATTTCCTTCCTGTTGCTATCTGGCTATCATTCCAATAGCTTCATTAGGCAATTACTTGGCATACCAAACATTTACCCAGTGAGGAAGCTTATTTAAGGGTGATCATATCTGCAGCCAAATTTTTAATCTGAATTCTCTGAGACCACAGCTTTGATGGAAATGCCAACAGAAAATTCCTAAGGGACCTGCCCAGAATCTATCAATCGGATGTCCTGAAAAGTCCACAACCCTGCAAAGAATATTGCCACTAAAATCCTACATTTTACCAGAATGGATCTAACTGTAACAACAGACTTGGCATATAGCCTTCATCTTCCAATCAAATCAATTGTTCAACCTCCTTCATTTGTTGGCTCAGTGACAAACTTGGAAAGAAGCATTATTGTCCTACTGATGGAAATCTTGACCACACAAGTCAGCTGAGCATGGATGCCAAATTCCCCCAGATCTATTATCCTATTCATCCTCAAAACCAAATTAAAGACCACCTCCATCAGGTCAGGTGGGGAAAGTCTAACTAATGCCTCAGTATCCAACTTCAGGTTCAAACACTCAAAAACTTGAGTTTGACCAGACAGGAAACAAGGAATGCGTATGAAGGAATTCTTGCAGGCTACATCAACACCTTCTTTTTAACCATCAAATCTGAGCTGAGAACCAAAGGGAACTGAGGCAATCCAACCCTTCCCAGCCCATCAGGATTTAATCATGGATGGCAGCAAGGTTTCCATATATTGACCTTGTGTGAAGGAATAGCACCGACAGATTGTGAGACTTACTGCGTGGAGTTCCAAAGCGTTCTTTGGTTCCAAAGGGTTCTTTGGTCAGGAAGAGGAGGCCAGCCCTCAACCAACGGAAGTGTTTCCTCAAGGAAAAGCTCAGCCAGGTGTCTCTGGCAAAAGATGTGTTTACACTTCTGGTCTTAGTTTACAAATTAAGTACATTCTAGGATTTTTTGTTTCATTCCCTGTGGGTTGATGGTTATTTATACAATGGATTCCAAGTGGGTGCCTTGACTAAACTACAAATGTATAACTGCTTTATTTCTTCCTTTGCCATGCCTCCCACTTCTTTCACATTATAGACAGAGGGAATACCCATATTGAGTAAATTTAAGTAAATTTTAAAATGGTGTAAAAGAGGTTCCCGGAGGGTCCAAGGTCTGCAAAGTACAGCTCTATCTGAATAAGCTAATTCACACAACTGTCAACATGGTAGTGCCACTGTGGTAAACATTAATACCTCCCATTCTTCGTTTTGTTCTTTCATTAGGACAAGTAGCATCAGGACATTAGTAGCATAATACCATGCTGAATACTCACCCAAATGCCCAGCCGCCCCCTGAGATCGGCGGGAGAGGCCCTTCTCCGGGAGCCCTCCGTGGAAGAAGTTAGGAGGATGGTTACTCGGAGGAGGGCTTTCTCAGCGGTGGCGCCCAATCTATGGAATGTGCTCCCCAGAGAGGTCTGCCTGGCACCGTCGTTATTTGTTTTTCGGCGACAGGCGAAGACCTTTTTATTTAAGCAGTATTTTAAATGTTAATATTATTGAATTTTATCTGGCCAGGGCGGCTTGTTTTATATTGTATGTTTTATATTGTATATTTGTATTTTATTTTAATGTATATATTTTAAAATGTTATTTTAATTTATTGTTGTAAGCCGCCCCGAGGCTTCGGCGAATGGAGCGGCATAAAAATGTTTTAATAAATAAATAAATGACAGAAGCAGACCCAGCAACCTATTAACATCCTTTCTGGGTTCCAAGAGTCTAATTACTGCCCCCCCACACCCTGCTCATACACAAAACAGCATGGAATCTAAAGCGTTCACATGTTTCCATTGTGTCATATATCGATCCCTTCTCTTGCCTATGATGCATCATTGTACTTCCCTTCTCAACCTACTGCTTATACACCTAACCTAAACTCACACTGATCCCACTACAAGAACTATGAAAAAGTGAGTACATTGTGAAACCTTATGCATATTTAATCATAGTCTGATAGGCTATCATTAACTTCAAACAGCAATCCGAGTTCACTACATTAAACATGATGCCTATGCTAAGAGGACATCATAAACTTCCCTCAAAAAGAGATGAGTAAGAACTATCCTAATTTTAACAAGAGCCAAATTGCACTGTGGGCAACAGCAGACATCTCTGGGGTGGAATTACCCCCCAAGACGCATTCACAGAATTCACCACAGATTAACTGATGAATTCATTAATCATAGATTAAAATTGTGGATTTTTATAAAATAAAAATTATACTCAGAGTTGGCCTCTCCGAACAAGTATCTGAAGGCTGATGGCATTAATGTAAATTATTTTTGCCCTCCTGTGAATTGAAAAAAGTCTATAAAATGGTTTTCAGATTTGTAAAGAATATACCTGTATTTAACTATTCAAGAGGAACTGCTACCTTCATTAAATAGCTTCAAAAGATATCCTTGAAAATTATCAGTGGAGTTGAAATACTAGAATATTTATTTCAAATGGCTAAATGCAAGACTGTTAAACTGACTAAAAGTTAATAGTTTGACAGCCCCAGGTAAAATAAAGGCATCAATAGGGTCATAATAAAATCTGTCAGAAAGAAAAAGACCAACTTCCTGTTAATAAGTGCTATATCAAAGTGGAATATTTAGAAAACAAACCCTTTATACTGTAGAAAGTGCTAACCTACAGAATTATTAATTTATAAGCAAAATATTAACAATTTTCTTATAAATATTAACAGGACATTGCCAATAGCAGGTATTGGCTTAAAACTCATCTTGGCAAGGAACATTCTTCAAAGCATGGAGTTAAACATAAAACAGTTTCTGCTATAAAGCAAAATCAATAAAGCCACATTAATATTTTTGATGGCACCAAGTAAAGACTAAATAAAAGGCATATACTTTTTGATGGAATTATACTAAAATAGCTGTTATTCTTTCTCAACCATTCTGCACTAGTAAAAAAGCATTTCATAAATGTGGTATCTGGTGTATGCTTAATCCTGATAAGTTGCAGCTTTAAGAAGAAATAACATATCTGATTTCAATTCAGCATGGAAGTGTGAACATTATATTAAGGATTATTGTTCAGAGTATAGGGGTCTGTAATGGTGATGTTAATTTCAATGTTAATTCCTGGATCTGATATTTTACCCATAAACCTTTTTTTCACTGTATTTAAAATACCCAGGGAGTGTGAATAAAAGCAGTACCAAACGGCTAACACCTGCCTATTTTAGAAGTTGTAGGAAGTAGCTCCTGTATTGTTAAATAAGAACTTAGATAAGGAGAGTTTCATATCAGCCTTGGAATGGAATCTTCTCCAACACTGCAGGACAATCAAATTCTTTATTGTAGGGCAATACAGGTGAAAAGCTTTTACACATTTTTAGACCTCTTGGAATCAGTTGTGAGCCCAAATACATAGGACTAAGAACAGAAGCAATTAAAGTGAGTAACTGGATGGATGGATGCTCCATCCATCCATCTATCGATGCAAAATGATAGATGACAGATGGAAACAAAAGTATCTCTTTTGCAGTATAACAAAGATGAGTGGGGAGGACACATCAACATGGATGCCCATGCCCAGCACTGTGCTCATTTTGAAAGTGCAGAGATAATGTGAACTGTACTTTCAAAATGGAGGATTGTTGAAGGACTATTGAAAACATCCTGCAGAGACCTGTATTTCTATCTTAGTTGATCCAGTTTGGTGCCAACATATGCAGCCAGATAACAGCTGAAGTGTACCAATGCTTGACTGATCTAAAATGATCCCATGTTATTATTGGCATTGCAAGAATGACAGGTGGAATCATTTGTACAAGCAAAACACAACCAGGAAGATGTCCAAGACCCCAAAGTATTGTTATTTTGCTTTTACAACTTTGTTAATGGTAATTAATTATGTACATTAGTTATAACATTAACTATAGTACATTATTACTACATTAACTCAAGGTTAGTTGGTACCTCATGACTGTTTGGGGCTTCCACTTCGTTCTCGGTTCAGCAAACAGCCAAGGGATGCCTGCTATGGTATTGTTAGGTGCAATATCTGAACCCTACTCCCTGGGTTGAAGTGGGGGTGGGAAGAAAAACAACCCATCAACAAGCCATAGGTTCAAACTCTGGTTTGTTTGCCACTCAACTATGCAGATTTCTGGGTTCAGACACTGCAATGAGCACAGTGTTCCTGGGTTGTTTTGTAATCAAGAAACAAAGTGGCAGCAAAGCATCAGTTACTCACTCGCACCAGCATGACCCCAACAATCCCTTAGAAAAACAACCCATGGGTTGCCATTACATGCAACCTACATACAACTTGGCAAACCTGGAATACTGTGGTGATCGCATCATCTACCTTTTCTTAAAATTATGGGACATTAACATATAAGGGTGTGACAACCAGATACCCTTACACAAGTCTCAATTGTTTAGATGGATTTACATATTTATTTATTTTTAAATGCATATACTACAACCTATAGGCTAATTTGCAGATCTATAAACTGGAACAGGAATGCAGCCATGATTTCTAATTTTGGCTACTCACAGATGCAGGTTTGCAGTAAAACCCTGCGTAATGAGAATCCAAATGCAAATGAAATACCTTGTCATTTTTCCAAAGGAAAAAAAACTTATAAAGAATTCTGCAAAATGAAGATATTGTACCTTGATCATTCGAGAAAGGTCTCCGGCATCTGCTAATTCCAGCACGATATTTAGTTCATTGTCTTCAATAAATGATGCGTAATATTTGATTACATTTGGATGATTCAATTGCTAGGAAAATAAACACATATTTCACTCTATAATTCCCTGTTCATATCTTCAAGAGCCTATAATAATTCATCAATTAAGAGTGCTTCCTTGTTTAAATTAAATCCCCAAACAAATTCCCATTTATGACTAAATTAAATCCCAACAAGGGGATTTTCCTTTATTTAATTTAAAAATGATGTTCACACACTTTCCCCCATGAATATCAGTGATCCATCCATCAAAACACTACCATCATGCTCTCAAATCAATTCTCACATTATAGGATGTGCGTGTTTTATCTTCAAGCCCTCCTCCTGCATGTGAGCATATAATTTCTGTAATGGCTTCTCACTTGCACAATACATTGTTTTTTCCCTGAATCTTTCACCTGTGAACTCAGTGGCCGCATATTAGTTATTATTTATTTACAAAACTTATGTAGACCATGTTATCTTTCGAATATGGAGATTTCAAAAGATAACGTATCATGTTAAAAACAAATCAGTAAAATTGGCTGGCTAGCTGAGAAGGCTTCCTGAAATGCAAGCTGTTTTCAGGAAGTTCAAAAGCAATACAACTTTGGCACCTGCATGACATCCAGTGGGAGGGAGTTCCTCAGAAATGGAGCCACTGGACTGAAAAGGTCCTGTCTGAGTGGATTCCCATGGTCCATATGGAACCACCAGGGACATGCCACCCAATGACGTTGGTGACCAGGCAGGTTGGTAAAGACTTAGAGTACCGTCCCAGGTACAGCAGGAACCCCGTATAAGCAGGGGATAGGTATTAAGCCCCCCAGAAGAGTCCTAAAACAGCAGATAGTAGTGAACCCTATATATTTTGCATACACATTTCTTTTTTCACAATTTCACAGAAAGAAGATTCATTCTACCCATACATCCTAACAACCTCAGCGCACAATTCTTTTTTTTCTCTATTAAATTGAGAATTTTCATTTTACTACTTCTCCTCCACTTTTCCTTTGGACTGAGGTCAACTGCAGTTAATAGAAACTGTGGTAACCGGGACAGTGAATACGGGGGTCCTACTGTATTAAGTTCAATTCTATAAGATGAACTTTCAAAGACAGCTGTTTGATTAATTCAGACCAGAGGTGGGAAACGCATGGTGCCCAGTGCATCCAGAGGCCTTCCCTCCATGGCTCTATCCATCCCAGCAGTGCAGCTGGGCTTAGAAATCTAACTGGGACTACTTTCCAAGCCCAACTGCAGCACTGGTGGTGATTTGGCAACAGTGATGGATTTACCCTTCCCATGCATTGTTCTACCATGGAAATCCTCTCTCTCTCTGTGTAGATCAGGCTTAGAGGGGGGAAAACTCCCATAGGTGTTAGCAGAAGCTTTTTATCTATGCCTATGTGCTTTGTGGGGAAGGTTGAGGAGGGGAGGGGAGGGGAGGAGAAAGGGGGAGGAGGGAGAGTGGGGTGGGGGAAGAAAAGCAAGGAAAAGAAAGTCTGCCTGCATGAGAGAATGCGTGTATGTGAGAGAATGCAAGGTGGTTCAGATGCATGAGAACAAGAATGACAGGGGTGCCTGTGTGTGCATAAGCCCAGGCCTGAGCATGTGGTGGTCACCATTGCGTAAACAGATGCAGGGGTGAGGGAAGAACAGAACACATTCTTAGCCATTTTATTCCCCACTAGTACAGGCTGCAGGACTTCAGCCTTTCTATGAAGTGGGACATGTAATAGTTCATACTATCCTGTGTTGGTGGATTTGTGTAACAGACAACAAAAGAGTACTTCTTCCATATTGGGATTAACTTTTACCTATGGAAAAAGGCTCCACGAATTCCCAAACAACTGTAAGATTAATGTAAAAGGGATAGATTTGCGGCATTTTGGGCTCTCCCAGGAATTATCATAAGCTTTCTAAACTGAAAGTCTCCAACAATTCAAACAGGACAGACAAAAGTCCTGAGTGCTTGTTGGAAGGACGGGATATACAGGCTTGTAATAAAATAAATAAAAGGTACAGAGAAATTCTGCAACCATGTGAAAACAGCAATTCATGTTAAGTGAAAAGTGCTGAAGTGTTAGTATGAATCACTAATAAAATCCACCTGGAGTCTAGTAGGCTTGAGCAATGTAAGTGCTGACTTGATTTCACCAAATAAATAAACAAACAAACCCATTTTCACTTTAAAAGCCCAATGCTGCCTTTTGGGTTGTAGCCAGTGTAAGTCTTACTTAGAACAGGTCCATGAACGGGGCTTAAGTTAAACTAACACTGGATGGAAGCCCTGATCTCCTCAGTCCTCTCAGACTCTGAGCTCAAGACAGAACTAAAAAGTTGTTTTCAAGATATACTGCCAATCTGGGATTAGAAGCTCAGCAGTTAAGTTCTCCAAACTCCAATCTTTGCCTGGCAGAGCCTGTTCAGTAATAGCATGTTCATTATAAAACCACAACCCACCCTCTGAGAAATTCATGAGGCCAGATCTATTTCCATTCATTTTTAATGTCAGCAGGTGTTTGGCATTGTGGCACATTTTTTTAAAGCATATATTGGCCCATCACCCGCTTTATAAAGTTATGTATTTTGCTTCTCTTAAAGTGGCTAGAGATAGGAGAGTTCTCATTTTAGTTTTTGCTTATTAAAGTGCAGCCCAATCAGGATGCCAGTAACCCTCTGAATTCAGAAGATAATGGGCCTCCTAAGCAGGAAGGGAAAAGCATGGAGCCTGTAAGCTTTTCCCACTCTATAACTCAGCCAGATGGCCAGCTTCAGCTGTGGCCACTTCAGAGGAGAAGGAAAGGAGGCTGAGGTACCACCAAGATGCCTAGCATGCCAGAGCCTGGCATGTCTACTAACCCAGCACAATTCTCCCTGTGCTTTGGGGTGCTCCAAGCAGAGACCAGCTATTAGTTGGAATGATTTTCTGCCCTCAAAGCTGGGTCTCTGAAAAATGCTATGGCCGTCTAGACCAGGGGTCGGCAACCTTTAACACTCAGAGAGCCATTTGGACATATTTCCCACAGGAAAAAAAAACACCAGGAGCCGCAAAACCCTTTTGACATCTAAAATGAAGATAGCACTGCATAGATAGTTTTTTCCCTTTATGCTATGTATAAAAAAAACTATAGTGTGTTGCATTTATGAAATCAATGAACTGCTACAGAGAAAACAAATTTTTATTTCTGTATGCAACAAAAACATTTTGAACTCAGAAAAAAAGACACTGGGTTGAAAGTTACTTTCAAATAAAATACTCAATGTCTATCTGAGTCCTCCTCGTATTTATGAAATAAAAGGCGAACTTATATTATCCACTAGCAGCAAACCAAACATGCCACCTGCAGCAAACCAAAAATGTCGTCTGCTTCTGTGTGCCCTCATCCTGTGTGCCCTCACATGGTGAAATATTGAACAAACATCCCTCTCCCAATGTAATAATGTTGCTGGAATTTTTATAAGAATCTTCTTAAAACAGAAGTAGATCTATATCTTCATTATGATTTAGCTGCAGCTCTTGTTCAGACACTAAAAACTGTTATTTTTAATCTTACATTATAAACTAGTAGGACTCCTTTCATATATTTTGAATAGGAGAACAGCTTCCTGCAGAGTCAAAGTCAGTGCTAAAGGGCTGCATGTATTAAACAGCAAACCCCATAAGTTCCTCAGCAGTAAAAGCAAATGAATCTACCCAGTACCATTAAACATTTGATTTTCTTCAGAAACTTTTCTTTTCTTTGGGTTTATGCATGGTTGGAGGGGGGGAAAGCTCAGTAAATCAGTCCACAGATATAGGTGTGTTTAGTGACTGGTTAGCAGATAAACGGTCAAGTACTGTGAATTGTGACAGGTCCCAAGCACAGCTTTTAACATTCAGATGAAGGAGATTACATTGGGACAGAGAGAATCTTTTCAGCAGCTTTTCGTGTAACATGAGAGCCTGCAGGAAGCTTGTTTAGCAGAGGAATGTAGCGATTGACTTAACTAGCCGATTGACTTAACTAGCTAGCTGCGTTCCGTTCCTTCGAGCAGATCAGCGGCTGTGCCGGCACGTGTTCTGAGCCACAGCAGAGGGGTTCAAGAGCCACGTGCGGCTCTGGAGCCGCGGGCTGCCGACCCCTGGTCTAGACACTATTTAGCAGCCATCGGGCTGTGCTGTTACCGTATTATGAACTAAGAGTCCGTTGCTTTGGTCTTCTGCCTGACCTGAGGGCTCCATGCAGTGGGTACAAATCGCAAAGACACACGCAGAAAAATATACAAACATACACGAATACTTGACATCAAGTTCTTTGATGTTTAACTACTGAAGCTTAAAATTCTTTGCCTTCTACTATAAAAATAGTTTAGGATATACATGTTTGTTCTGGCTGTATTTAAAATGCACATATCTCATACAAAATACAAATCCACAGAATGAAGCCATTCTCCCAAGCTTTTAGGCCTGGGAGAGAGATCCTTCAAAACAAATAAAAAAAGAACATTTCACATTCTGGAATGCCACATAGAAGAGCTGTGTTATCAGAATGAGAAAACTTCATTAGTTCTTTTATCAGTGGCAGCAACATAAAAATGCCGCGATGCTTACCTTAAGGAGGTCTATTTCTTTGATGCAATCAGCACGGGCCTTCGCATCCATTAAATCAAATATCTTTTTAGGGAGAGAAAAGGGAGGGAAAACACTATGTGAAAAGAAATTCATAGGTCTTCAGCATTTGCACTAAATGAAAGGTGACTTGAAAATAAGCAACCCACATTGCCTAAATGAGAAATCCCCAAACAATGCCTCATGAGAAAAAAACTAAACAAAGCCTCTTGTAAACTCAAAGTATCCGTCCACAGGGAAGTGCTACTGCTCAAACTGTGATTCACTACACCAGTATTGCCATCTTCCAATCAATCCACAGGGAGACAATAAATAATTCTAAATTGCAGATGTTTAAACCACTGGCCATGCAGTGATGCAAGAGAGTTACACATTCTTAGGTAAGGCTTCCCATGGGGTCAGCACTTTATGATTGCTACCTTCCATTCACGAGGTATGGCCAGCTCAGAGATTGATACCGAAACTAGGCTTCACCATAGGGATGTTCTTCTAAAGTTTAAACTTAAAGCATTGCTATGATATAAACGCTATTCCTTGAATTTTAATTCTAAAGTATGTCTGCTGCAACGATAAAGCATTTTGGAAGCAGTACCTGGCATAAAACTGTGTTTATTTCCTTAACTTAATTGATATGAGGATGATAGTTGAGATTATTACATAATTCTGGCATTGAACTTCCATCCATTTTTATTTATTTGTTTGTTTAACTTCTTTATCACCCAACAGATAAAGCTCTCTGAGCAGTTCACAAAGGACATTAAAAATAACAATAAACAATACTAAAATATCATCATTAAAAGTTTACAATACAATATTTAAAACCAAATCATAACTTAAGGCAGGAGAGGGAAAAGATGGTATGCGATATCATTCAAGATGGTTGCCTCAGCAGAGGGCTGCTTATATCCTTATGGGAACTCCTGCCCCCTAGGTGTCAGGTGGAGTCCAAAGGTAACATTACAGGTCAGAAAGCCACAGGTTCACTCTGGCAATCTGCTCTTGAACAAGACTACCCTTCCTGTTTCCTGTAGGTCTCCCTGCCACAAAAACCAACGGTTTCTTTTGCCTGGTTTGCCATGCAATTCCATGGGTACCAACATATACTGAGCAGCATCTGGATGCGTGTTGGGATTCAAAATTCTAAAGGGGTGTCCCTCATTGCTTTAAAATATGCTTTAAATCTGGAATAAATGTCCACAACTTGTTAAAAGCAAACAAAACAGACTCTCTCTGAAGTGCAAAACAAAAGCACCGAGGAGACTAGCTCACCCACACCCAATAGTCTACTTCCTGTCTGTCACTCAATCACTCTTTATTCATAAGGTGGGGAGGACAATAGCCCTTCTAATAATTTCCCTTTATGGCGCCCCTCCAAACTCTTCTGCAATGCACATTGTTTTATAGACTTATTTTCTTTTTTATTCTTTACAATTATTTTCCATATTATGACAATTCATACAATCAAATAGATAAAATATGTATAAAACATAATCAAATTCATACCAGTTATATTGCCCTTAATAGTAGATATAATTGTATAGAAACCATAAAATTTTCATTCCAATATAAAATAATGAAACTCTTTTTTCTATTAAAAAGTATTTCCTGATCTTCCCTTTCTGACTATCATATTAGTTAATCTAATCATGGAAGCTATACACCAAATCCTCATATATCCATTGTGAAATGTTGCAGAATTAGCTCTCTTCCACTTACTGCTTATCTCCGCATAGCAGCCATTAATTTCATTGTCAACTTGAACTAGATCCTTAATATGGTCAAATTTAAAAAACAATGGGTCTGAAGAAAAGTCCATACCTACAATTCTGTAATAGCTTCCTTTACCATCCTCCAAATTAAGGATGTGCAAGGAAACCATTTGGGAGTGGGAGCTATTTAATTTCATGGGCTCAGCTTCGCACACCCCTCTTCTGTGTGTGTCATCACTAGCAGCAGCAAAACGGTAAGAAGGTCGGTCGCCAGGATGTGTGTTTGCACTATCCCTCTTCCACATCCTGCAGCCACTCCAGGTTGTACAACCAGGCATCCCCAAATATTCAAAGACTTCCTTAGCAAGACCAAGAGGAAGTCTACAGGTGCAAGAGGAACAGATTTTTAAGGTCCATCCCAACCATACTCCAAATAATAATAAAATAAACTATATTTGCTCCCTGGAAACGCACCTCCAACACTTATAACTTTTACTAAGCCCGAGGGGCATTAAACACCAGTTAAAAAGTCAGTTGTGAATGTTCTCTTTGAGATGCATGCAAAGTATACTCTCTCGGTGTATTCTGCAGGAACCAGGTTATTTCTGATCATGGGAAGAGCATCAGGAAGTGGTACAAAGATTTAAGCAGTAGCAATAATTATCTAGCATTTTTCAACCCTCTCCATTTCTGGTCCCCCATTTCACAAACCCAGTACTAACACTGAGAATGCACACATGCAAATATGCACACACAGACACACGTACATCTAGGGAGAGCAAAAACTTTGGCAGACAGTGTTAACTGTAGAATTAGGATACTCTATAAACCTCTTGTGGGAAAGATATCACTAGAGATATATGTTAAATCAGCCCAATGGCCATGAAAAGTGGAAAGAAGTCCTCTAGCAGGAATATATGCCAGAATTCTCTCACCTCCGTGCATTACGAATGCTAGGATGATAGAAAGCACACCCTCTCGGCTGCAAGTTATGATTCAGGAAGGAGACTGAGCTGCAAAGCAGAACTATAGCAAGATAAGTCACGTGAATGGAATGTTAAGACTAAAAAATAATGTCTGACTAATAGAGGAAGGGAAAGAAGGTCTAGCACTGTATATTTAGGGTTTTTTTAAATAAATACTGAAAGGTAAGCTAGTGTTGATGGAAAACACAGAAGCAAAAGTTTATGACTTAGGGTTTAGAACATGCCTGGCCAAAGAGAAATGTTCAGTCTGCAGTTACTTTAAGTTTCAAAGCCAGAATGAAAAACATACACTCTTGCTTACATCACCTTGGCATTAAAATCCCAAGATTTGGCACACGTGTTCAGCTCCAAAGGGTCTGATTACCTTTGAGAAAACACAATAGGCGTGTTCCTGTGTTACTTACCAGCAAAGACTCTTTGTCCTTTAAAACTTCCAAGGACTTGTGTGCCCCGGCCACAACCCTTTCCCACAGCGAGATGCTAACTTCCTAACCTGACTGAACAACACTTGATTGCAGTTATTCCCCAGCCTAAACTCTTGATCTACCCCTGAAAAAATAATTGGAGAGGGTGGTTAGAGAGACTGATTTAAATAAGTACAGTGAAGAGCTGGATCAGAGCTTACTTTCCCCCATGGCAAGAGGATGAGAGAGGTCTGCCAGAGCCCTTCCTCAGACCTTTTTAACCAAATGAAGACCTGCAGTATGCATTTTTCCTTGTACCATATATCATACAATATATATGATTTATTGATTTATTGATTGATTTTTCCAATTTATATCCTGCCTTTTCCTACAAAGGACTCAAGACAGCTTACATCATTCTCCTCCACCATCTTATCCCCAAAACAACAACCCTGTGTGGTAGGTTGCGCTGAGTCTGTGACTGGCCCAAAGTCACCCAGTTGGCTCCATGGCTGAGCGGGGACTAGAACCCGGATCGTCTGAGTCCCAGTCCCATGCTTTTAACCACTACACCACACTGGCTCTATGATGTATGATATATATATTGCTCTCCTCAACCCATCCTACTCACATTTCTGATTGTTTGTTTCCTAGATTTTTTCATAACACTTAAGCCACAGCATTTTTATATGTTGCATATTTTTTGTGGTACATATGTGTGTGTTAAAATTGCTGTCATGGGAGGAGTCACTTCACCAGGCTGGTCGGATGGGGACAGTGACTCTGCAAAAGGAAATGTCCTATACTGCATAATGAGTGGGCCAGGAACTCACTCTTCACAGACTTTCCAAGGGCCTGTGTTATCGGACTGAGAAAGCGAGGACAGTATGGAAGAGGCAGTGGGAGGGCCAGTGGATCGAAGCAGGACAGGCATCTTAGAAGCTGCATCAAAGTAGTTGCCAACAGTTTCCCTGGCTGACCGTCACAGCAGACAGGTTTTGGAGGAGATGGGAGGGGACTGGGGAGAGGGGAGAGCCCCCCTGTCTTGCCCAGTCCCACACACTCTTTACATGAGCAGAGACTATTGTTCAGCTCACTAGCAGGGTGCTTAGTGTTGCACTGTCTTGTTAGCTGTGAAGTGCCAAGAAAGATCTGCATTGTAACGGACTGCCTGCTGTTTTGGAGCCCAGAGTAAGAAGGGAAGGGCTGGGCTCTCAACATCCTATTTCAACAAAGCAGCAGGAACTCCAAGAAGGAGGTAAGTCTGATCCACCTTCAGTTGTTTTCCCACTTCCCCTACTCTGGCCCATGGCTTCTCCCTCTCATTTTTTTCAGACTTGCCCAGTGACCTGGTGAGTAAATACAATACTATTTTTGTCCTCTCCCCTGTGCGGAATAACTATATGTTTTTGCACAAGTAAATCATATTGTCATCAATGGGGCTTACTCAGAAGCAAAACACATTAATTACAATGGCCGTATTCTATGAAAATTCGGCACAGGGAAGGGGATGCACCTGCCTTCAAGAACAGCTTTTGGGTGGAGGGCAAGTCACATTTGTGTGTGACACAAGATCCTATTTTCAACCCAGTGGAGACTGCACTGTAGTGCAGTGATAAATGCATTTTGCATTAATACCATAATAGCACTTCCTGATAAATGGAAGGCTCTCATGGATGAGATTCCCCCCCCCCCTGGTAAATACATTTTAAACAGTCCCAATGTTAAACTCAGTAATGAAATGCCTGAAGTATAGGACAAAGTATTTGGTGGAGCAGGTTTAGGAGGGAAAGATCATGGGGGGAAGGATAAAACCCCCACCCCACTTGCTTCGCACATCTGTTTCTGTTAAGAAAAGAGAAGTGGGCAGGTCCTAATTATATTTTTTTAACTAGCGCACTTAACCTAACATGTGGTTTGGCCCCAAGCCCAGGAATGAATTGGGT